CCATAGTGAATGTCTAGAGACTGCAATATAACATCAGTCCTTCATTACTTAACTTCTAAACAGTAAGATGTTTTCTTAATAGAAAACAATGGGAAATTGATACAACGCTTGTGTGATATACCTTCAAACAACCTATCATTATTCACAAATACATTTTAAGAGGTTAGGTTACAAAGACATTAGAGATGACATCTGACACATATGGATAAATGGAAACTACTCTCCAGACCCTAGAGATAGTGAAATCTCTTCTTCATCACTCAAATCACTTAATGTCAGGATTTGTGAATACTTGGATAAGCATCAGAAACATCTCAACTACTGTCTTCTCAAGACAAATTGCATACATTTTAGAGAAAATCTCCTACATATATTGATGCTGTTTGTTTTTACTGAAGCCACGCTAATGAAAAATATTAAATTTAAGTTTAATGAAAAATATTTTTAAAAAATATTAAAATTAAATTTAATGGAAAAGTATTTTTTAAAAAGTAGGTCTAAATTTAAGAAAATGATTTCAAATATAACTCTGGCTTTTTAAAAATGCATGTTATATACCTAAATTTTTAAAAATTACATCCCAAATACCTAAACCATCACAGAACCGCATTAAACTTCAATAGCAATGTACCTGATTTTTTAATAGCATTAAATATTATCATACAAAGACCTCTCTAAATGCTGCTTTGCTTTATGGTTTTGTAAATAATATCTCTGAAAATGTATACAATAAAAATGCCTCTAAGTTACCCAAGTCAAGCTCAAACGCTATGTGGAACAAGGTTACTTAACAAGAGTCCCAGAACCACCTGAATCAGTAGGAGAAATTTTGTGTATGTATATATGGTCTTTTCTTTTTTTCTAGACAAAAAGTCTGTTAAACTTTCAGCTTTTCAAAGGGGTTCATAACTCCGTTAAGATTAAAGTGCCTGAAGGGACTGTCATCGTTAGATAAGGTCACAGGCAAACCAAGCTTTATTTTTTATGCCAAATTAGGGGAGGGTTTATTCTAACTTAGGGGCTCCGATATAATTTCTGGGTGATGCAACCATGAAAAGGCTGTCGGATCCAAACAGCCCCCTACACCCACGGAACGCACCAAACCAAGGGGCCTTAAGAGTCAAACCCATTAACAGCCCTACAGCTCAAACATCCACTGGATCTTGCAGGAAGCGCCCTCCCCTTTCACCAGAGGGGGCTGCGGGCGGCGACTA